CCCCCCGTTCCTACCTGGGACCTCAGAGTCTCCTTGTGCCTCCCTGAGGATTGTGGGAGCTCAGGAGGCATTTCTCTCAAAAATTGAAGTAATGCTTTGCTTGGAAGACTTGGAGCCTGAGTCATCTCTTAGGTCAAAACTCCTGTACCTGTAGGGAGAGCAGGGTGGGTCCAAGAGGGCTGGGGACCGGGCATCTGGGAAAGGGTTGAGCTGGGCCAGAGGAACAGGGTGTGGCCCTGGGTTGATGACAGGCCCAGAAAGGAAAGGGGTCTGACCAGCGTATATAGGAGCCCAAGCCCTAGAGCAGGGTGTTGTCCTGGTGATGCAGCCATCTTCCTACCTTCAAACCTGCACACCCAGATTTAAACAGACCTGCATGCAGTTAATTATACTGGCGGGGGCGGGGCTTCCTTTGCTGTGAGTCCTCCCTGAAGGGAGCCTTGGTAGATAATGGGGAGAACACGATTTGGAGTCACAGTCGGCTTGTGCAGCTTCCTAGGTGACCTAAAAAGTCTCCTCACTTCCCCTTTAGGGGGTGCCAGGCTGTTTTCTCACCCATGAAATATTGGAGGAAATAACTCCCAGGAGTATCATGAGATGAAATGAAAGGAAGCAAAGGCATGTGACAGGACTTTGTAAACTGAAATGCAGAACACACTGGGTACCATTGTTATTGACTGGATGATTGGAATAGGTGGGTAAGGTTACCTGTAGCGGCCTCAGAGGCGAGAAGCTGGGGCAGAAAAGCCCAAGGTGTGAAGGGAAACTACCTTCTCAGGCCGTGAAAGTTGGAAGAACGGCCAAATGCTGTCCTGAGTGGACTGGCCTCTCAGGCATCATCAATCCACTCAACCCAGAGGCCTATGGAGAGCAGGGAGCCTGTCAGTCCAGCAGCTCCTCCCTGGAGAAAACAGGACAGGTGGCTAGCAGTAAGAGCAGAGCGATGCAGTGCCTCTCTCAAATATCCCTCAGAGCTCCCTGCCCCATCCGTGGTCTCTTGACTGAAGATGTCCTTTGTAACCAAGAAGGTAAAATGGATCTTTAAAAGTCAGCATTTTTTTTTTAAGATAAATTGTTTCTCCAAGCTTCTTCGTGCTGAGAGTGTAAATTGCCACTGGCTAGGCCCGACGCCCAGAAGGATTCAATACTTTTCTCCTCTGCCAGGCCAAAGCCTGGCTAAATCTCCATATGGGGTATTTCCTGGCTTTTGTTCTGCCTGATACTTTTGTGCACTCCAATTTGGTCAAATGATAGAGAAACTCATTTCCCCCATTTTCATGGGCTTTTGATTGTAGGTGGGTGGAAGAACCCAAAAACCTACAGAGCCAGAACTTGGATCCAGACCCAGTCCAGCCCCTTGGGTCAGCTCGGAGGCAGGCTGAGATGGAGACAGTGGTGTTTCCAAAAGGCTTTCATTAGTCACCTCCAAATAATCTATCTCAGTTGACCCATTCAGTGTTTCCCAAACTTCGGTCATGTCAGCATTACCATTTTCCCTTGCTTGCTTATAACTGTACTGTGGATTTAATTTTCTTTCAATGGTTAAACAGTATAGCCCTTTCAGGAAATTTGATACATGGCAGTAAATGAAAAATCAGCCTCTCTGGCCTAGAAATAGAACCTTCTAGAAATAGTTCTAGTAGAAGTAAAAATGGCAAAACCAAAACTGTAGTTAATATTTAGATGTTTGTTCTGCTGCCAGTTGGAGGCTCTGAGTCCTGGGCTTGCTTTGGTAAAATATTAAAAAGAAAAAGAAAAATAGGTGAGACAATCACTTTTCAAGACAAACCAGTACTAAGTTGAGACTTTTTGGTGGTCTCAGAACTGCAAGAGAAGTGAAAAGGAAGGGACAGGGTTTTGTTTGTTTGTTTCTCCTAAGGGACTGGGGAATGGAAAGCTACTGCTTTCCCTGGGAACAAGGAGGAGCCTAGCTCTCACGCGTTCTTTCTCTGGTCTCCCTCAGTGCCAGGAAACGCCCCATCCCTTACTACCGGCCCAGCCCCTCATCGTCCAGCAGCCTCAGCAGCGCCTCCTGCTGGTACAGCAGTAGCAGCAGCCGTTCACCCAGCCGCAGCTATTCCAGGAGCCGCAGTGAGAGCCGCAGCCGAAGTCGGAGCCTGAGCCGGAGCCGGAGCAGGACCCGCAGTAGCAGCAGCTCCGGCTCTCGCAGCCCCAGCCTGGGTTCCCTGAGCCGGAGTCGGAGCCGGAGCCGGAGCCGGAGCCGGAGCTACAGCTCAGCAGACAGCTACTCTAGCACGAGGCGCTAAGCAAAGGTTGTCCCTTGAGCCAGCTGCTCTGGGGACTTTTTTGGCTCTGCCAGCCTCTCCTACACCTGTCCTCCTTACCTTCTTGCTGGTGACAGATATGCAGGGCTCCTGGACCCTGTCCTGCCTGCTTTCCTGGGGAGGAGGAAATGAGGGCATAGGGGCTGCACCTCCCTGTGTGAAGTTGCTAGGAGCCTCTACCAGCACCACCCTGGGGCTCAACTCAGGCCTGGGCATATGGAGAGAATTTTTTTTTTTTTTTTTTGCATCACCTCACCGTTTTGTGAGAAGCAGTGGGTCTGTGACTCAAAAGCTCTGAACCCGGCTAGCAATGTGTGGAGACAACTCTGCTCACTCACTGCTTGAAAGATGTGTACAGAAGGCCAAGAGCGACTCATGCCACCTGCCCTTGTTTTCATTCTTGCTACCATCCACTCTCATAGCTGCATGTTTATGGGCCCCCATTCCAAGAACAGGTGAGAATGGAGGCCAAGGGCAGTTGAGGTCCGAGGTAAGCAGCCAGGCCTTTAATCTCCCTAGATGGGCAGAGCTAAGCCTGGGGGGCCTTGGGTCCTAGAAGAGAGGACAAGCATAGGGGACATGGGCATCAGAGATGGCGGCAGATGTCAGGGGATTAGAGATGAGATCCCTGGTTACAAGTGTAGAAGCAAAAAGGCAGAGGTCACCTGTTACTTCCAATATGCTAGCGTGGTCAGGAGAAGGAGCCCATCAGGTCCCACTGGCACAGAGCACAGGCCACTCCATGACTCACACAAAATACTTCCTGGTTGTTCACAGGGTCCCTGCCACCCCACAGGAAGGGAGCTAGTGGAACAGTCAGGACAGCCCTGACTACTGACCTGCGTCCCCAGTTTGCCTCAGTCCTGCTAGCTGGCACCGATTTAATTCCATGGGACCATCTGCTAAACATTCCCCGGTGCCATGGCCAGCTGCCAGCCCCCAGCGCCAGCCAGTCTGGCCTTGCCCACCAGTTGGCGCCTGTCCACCCCCTCCCCACTCCGTAGACTGCCACACCCCAATGCTACCCGGGGCAGCCTGGCACTTCCCCTCCCACCCTTCAGCCTAAACCATTCTCCTTGCCTCAGGACTTTTGCCAGGATGAAACAAAGACAAAAATTCAGAGAGTCTGCAGGTGAGGGGCTTGAGTGCTCCGTATCTGGAGCTTTTGCTAGTTTCTGAGATTTCTTATCAGCTTGGGAAAGCCCTGGATTCATTTTTGCTCTCACTCACCTTCCCCCTGCCTGGGGCCAGGCAGCAAGGGTAAGCTGCCCTCTGACACACAAATACCACCAGCTGCTTCATCCGCAGGAGGCACTGAGAACACACAAGCCAGGGAGGAGCTCCCTAAAATAACTCCAGGGCATCCCCCTCACCAGCTGCATGGCTTTCCGGAGCCTTGTGGGCGAGTCTCAAGTTTGTGGTGGCAGTAGCAACGGGACAGGGCATGTAAGGAGGAGGACAATGCCCAGCTTGAGTTTTAGCCTTCCCGCTCCAAGGAAAATGCTTGGAAAACCCGTTTTTTCTTGGACGCGGTAATCTCTCCCCACCTGATCTTTCCCATCACATCAGCTCCCCCACTCTGAGGGAGGAGATGACAACTCCCCAAGGGCGGCAACCACTCTGAAAGTCCTTCCTCCAGCACAAGAGAGGAGCAAGTGTCTCCAGGCTGCAGTGCAGAACCTGGCCTTCTCACGATGGCCTCTAGCCCAGACCAAAGCCTGTCCACCAGACTCGTGGATTTCAATGCTGTCACTGCAGAAGGCCGGATGGCAGGTGCCTGGGACAAGGGCGGGTGCGCCGGGAGGACATGTACAGCAACTGTAAATAACCCTCTTCCCCGCCCAGGAACCCAGACTGGACTCCAGTCTCTCTTCATGGAGACAAAGGCTTCCTGAAGCCACCCAACCTCCTTAGTAGGTTGGCTGAGAGGGCCTGGGCACCTCCCATGCACACTGTCTTTGTTCAGACACTTCCAGGGGACCATTTTGCCTACGGCTCCTAGCAAAACTTTTATTTATTTTATTTATTTATCTATTTGTTTATTTATTTATTTATGTGATGATAGCTTTCTTTCATCCCTAGCGGTATTTATTTATTTATTCATTTACTTATTTATACGGGAAGGATTTTTTGTGTGTATGTATGTTTGTATGTGTTTCGGGAGGTGGGAGAACTTGTAAATTAGTTTTATGCATCTCTGAAGCTGAGTCCAGAACATTCTGGAGTTGGCCCAGAAGCACACGAGTCCCCAGGTTTATTACTCAGTGAGACGTTGAGAAGTTCAGGCCCGTGACCCAGACCCTGCTCACCAGCTATCTCACGGAGGTATTAGGAAGAGAAGGGCAGCCAAAGAGCTCATGAGCTAAGACACTGGCTTGACCCCATGGTGTCACAGCTAACATCAGGGGCTGGAGTCTAAAATTAGCACTTATAGTAAAACTGTACAAAATTGAAATTCCTAGTAACAAGCCGTTTGGGAGGCACCTGGGCTGCAGTTAGGAAATAAGATAAAATAGAGGGAACATCCAGATGTTTCCCCCAAGGACGTAATTTCTGAGCCCATCCCTGGAAACTAGGATTCACAAATCCTAATCAGTCCAGCCTCTCACAACTGACAGTATCTTCTAGCTGCTGGCTGCAGAGGGTTCTTGCCCTTTCCAAAGCCACCGTCCATGGCCTTGCACTTGTCAGCTTGTCTGGTCCAGCTTTGGATTTGGTGAAACTTTTGCAGCATCCCTGGTTGTTTTCCTGGCAATGTGGCTACCCGGCCCTAACTCAACCAAGGGAGCATCCTTATCCCAGGGAAAGCTTGCAGGAAGTTGGTTAGCTGCCTCCCAGGGGGAAATTCTCTCTCCACCCTGTGGTATATTTCTCTAATTTCTTTTACACTTCTTGTATTCTATCCAAAAATAGAATTCTTGTTGAGGCACCGGTAACTTCAATTAGCCAAAGTCATCATTCCCTAGTATTGCTGTTGCTGTGTCTGCTTTATCCTCACTACCTTCTGCTCCCAGCAAATAGATAGATCGCTAGAAGGACTTGGCTCAAAAACCACCATCCAAAATGGGAGGGGAAGCAGCATGAGATCCGGCAGTATGACACCCAAGCCCTTTGCCCTTCCTGCGGTGGGTGTGCAGTAAATGAGTGAAACTGGACAGAGTGATCCCTTTCCTGGGTCAAAGTTCTCACCTCTTTGAAGTGAAAATCTTTTTGAGAAATAATCACAAATGTTGACTTGAAGCCTGGAAGACTCACCAAAGACAGTAGGTTTCACTGAGACTCAGAGGAAAGACGAGAAGAGCTTCAAAAATTTTTAGGAGGTTTTCAATCATGAGAATGAAAATGAAAAGCAAGATATAAATCCCTTTCAGTTCGTTAGAAAAAGCTAACTGAAAACCCTCAGCATAGAACCATTCCAGTTCAACGAAGTTGACCACACTGCTGTCTGCTTCCTTCTTGGAAGGAAGCTCGGTATTTCAGCGGCAGAATAAAATGAAGAATTTGGAAAGACAGAAGGAGCTCAGTTTCAGTCAGCCTCCTTTACTTCATTTGCCCCAAATGTTTGGCTTGTAAAGGTCAAAATTTAGGGTACTGCCAGAGGTTGCAGAAAGCGTTTTTCCCCCTTCTCTAGCCCAACTTCCAGTTTTCTCCTGCTGTCATCTTTTCACTTCTTGTTTCCCACAAATATTCAAAAGTAGTCTCGTGTGCGCACATCTTGCTTTGTTTTCCCCTCCAACTGAATAGGAATGTTGGTCTGATAAAATAGCATCAGAAACAAAATTCCTTAAAACATGTCCCCCTCTCCTACTGGCTAACTGAACCCAGCTGAAAAATTTAAACCAGGTATGTCATGTCATGAAGTTGGTTTTTTTGTTTGTTTGTTTGTTTTATAATTGAAACCTCTCCTTTCTTATTTCTACACCAAATGAGCCCATGATCGACATGATCATCGTCTTCTCTGCCTGTGGCCAGTTTGTGTTTGTTTGGGTGTTTGGGTGTTTACTTTCTTTCATTTTGTTTTGTTCTTGTTTTCGTTTTTCTCGGTAGCTGTTGCTTTGCGTTGTAAATACTTATGATGGGGACCCCTCATCAAAACATGGATTATTTAATAATTTATTTCCTATTTATTGAGTGGCACTGGGAAAGGGGAGGGACCACCTCCTCCACTGAATTGTTATTGAAAATCGGTCCATCTCTCAGCTCAGATGCTGCTGGCTGCAGCAGGGCATTATCACCCAGGTAATGAGCGCTAGAATCACCGAACAAATTGGAATTGGCAGAAACGGAGGCTTCCGTCATACAAATTAAACCCAAATGGAACTAAAACACTGGTTATCTCCAGGAAAACCTCATTTAGATGGAAATTAATTGAAGAATCAAATGCCTGTGCACGAACCAATTTATATTAAAAAGTCACAACTCCTTGAAAGAAAAAAAAAGAAAAAAAAGAAAATTGTACCCCTGCTTCTCCAGGCAAGAGAAGCTATGCTTTACCTTCTAATGAGCTGAACCAGAGACTGGAATGGCATTCCTTTGTGACTTTGTTGCCTGTGTGTCTGTGGGGATGAAATGAAATTGGTCCTGGGCCTCAGTCTTATCATCTGTAAAGTGGGGCTTAACCTAAGTGTTGTTGGCAGCATGGGGTGGGGGACTTTAGCACTGATGCTGTTGACTCCATACTGTTGGATAGTGTCTGTGTGTCTTCTGCTGTAGGCCAAAGGGCACCCACTAATGAAAGAAACAAAAAGGCAGGACATGGACATCATTTGCTGAGAGAGTTTACAACAGCTGGATCTTACAGTCAGATCAAGAACACCTAGAGGTGTCGTGCACCTTGATAACTCTTTGTAATCTGGGTTAAAATCCTCTGTACTTAGCTTGAGCTTCTCTCCAAGCCCACCGATCCTGAGTCGCCATGGGAAAGACCTAGCTGGCTTTGCCAGGGCCTGGATTTAACTACTGTTCATTGTCAGACCATATTTTGTACAATCCATTCCAATAAGCCAGTGATATAAGTCCTATGACCACTTTTCAGATGGGAAAACTGAGGCTCAGGAGGGAACTTTCATGCTCAAATTCCCTTAAGCTTGGATCTGCCTAACTCCATGTCCCCACACTCCCTTGGTAGCTCTTTCTTCAGGGACCTATGCTGTGAAGACTTTTTCTTCCACACTGTGTCTCTTCTCTCCCCACTCTTAGCTGTTCCTTCAAGTGGTAACTGGCCTGGGAGCTAGCAGAATCTACCACCTTGGCCCAGGTCTCAGTGTACCTCAAACTCATGTCTCTTTATTGAGGTCTGGCACTACCATTTGGAAAATCTCAAGTTGGTGAGAGGACCCCTCACCAACCCAGCTCAGCCTGACGAGCCAGTCTGCCTGGAGCATCCACATCAGGAAGAAAGAAACTGCTGTGTCCTCCAGCATCCTAGGCCAGTGTCCTCTGCCCAGCGACACAGTGGCCGTGGCTTGCCTGATTTTTGGTTTCCACAGCTAAGCATCACCTTCCCGGGGTTTCCGGGTTTTCAGTCTGTATGAAACAAGTCTCTGTTCTAATTAAAGGTCCCATGGTATGGTGTTCTCATAACTGGCCCAGCGTGCTCTGTCTACATGGGATATACAGAGGAGGGAGGGAGACGGAACTCTTACACAGCACCTGCTGCATGTCATACATGCTCATGGTGCCCAGATCACTCCTTTAATCTTCCAAACATGCCAGAGAGTATTTGAGTTTCACGTACACATTAGCAGCACCTGTGGCACACCTTAGGAGACCTTTCCAGAAGTACGTTACGCGAATTGTCTTAGATATAACTATACTGCCATCAGACAACAGTACAATCTGCACTGACAGCATTTGGGGTAGGTGTTGGGGTCTTGTTACTACCAAGAAGGGAACTGAAGCCTGGGAAAGTAAAGCCATGAGCTCAACAGCCAGGCTCTAGAGTTGGTGACAGAGTCCTGACAGGCTGATTCCACTCCTCCTTGAGCAACGAATAGCCAGCCTTCTTCAGTCCCGTTGTTTTGTCTGGAGACTTTGATCACTGGGAGCAAGTTCAGTGTTGGGCACAGACTTTTAGAGTCCAAAGATTTGGGTTCAGGTCTAGGTCCTACCTCTATGAGCTCAGGGGCACTGGATGACAGCTACACCCTGTGAGTGTCTGGTTTGCTCATCTGTAAAATGAGAGAGCAACAGCTACCTCCCTGGGCTGTTTTTGGAAGCTAAATGAGATGGTAGATTTTTTTTAAAAAAACGCAGTGCTTGGAAAGCACTTAATGAATGCTAGTGAACAAAATTACTGTTTTCTAAATTGAACCTGAGCTGCGGCCGTGGAGTTCATGTAGACAGCCCAAGGCAGCCAAGTTGGAAAAATGAGGGCCTGTAATGCCCTCCGTGGAGGCCTCCAGAAATGTTGTCAGTGTAGAATTAGAATGTGTCTTTCCCTCCAGGGCAGGGGTTGAAGACAGCCAGGCAGCAGGCAGGTGAGGGGAGTGGATGAGGTTAGACTGCGGGGAAATGGGGAGCCCGGTATCCATAGACCAGGTAAACATCTCAGGTTAGTGTTGCCAAATCTCCAACTTTTCAGCCAAATCTGATTTTTAGCTAAAATCTCTTGATTTTTTTTTTAAAAAAACATGTTCATAACTCCTTGCTTTTCCCAGCACTGTATGAGTCAAAATGTGTGTGTGTGTGTGTGTGTGTGTGTGTGTGTGTGTGTGTACAGGAATGATATGTCATCCTAGGGGCCACGGAGGAGGACGTGTCTCACCCTTCCCTCCATCCCCAGGGCTACCAGGGGGTCCTTCCACCGCCCCTTCACACAGTTGAGTTAGGGAGGAATATCAAATAAAACAGGTTGCAACCTTGCTAGCCGTGTGTGCTGCCCAAGTAGAAATATGCCTTGGAATTCAACTGAAAGGAATAACCTCCTTTGGGTACATCTATAACTATCCTCACATTGGTTTCTTTCTTTTAAAACACTCTTAAGTAAAGCACCACCAGTGTCTCACGCTGAGGCTTCATCACTAAATAATAATAATTAACACTCATTATTAATAATAACTTTTTATGGGCTGACTGTCAAGTGCTATATGTACCCAACAACTTATTTTATTTTCACAGTGCTACTTAGCTCTATTTGGCAGATGACAAAGTTGAGGTTCTGGACACAAGGCTGCACTGCCCACACTGGGTATTTGGAGCTGGGTCTGTGGCTCCCTGTGCCACTTCTGCTACACCTCTTTATGCCCAAAGCTGTGCACCTCATCAAGTCAGAGCTAGCTGATAAGACAGCTTTTACCAGAAAGTACGGCTGCCAAGAGGCTGTCCCTGCGACTGATGTCAGCTTCCTCTTGGTGATTTGTGGAGAGACCTTTCTTTACCTTTCCATCTCCTGCTCTGGCTCTCAGTTACAGGAATCCAAGAGTTTGTTTTTCCAGTGATTGGCCTGAGCAGGCGCTCCACCCCCTCCCAGCCCATGCTGTCCTGGCTGCAGAGAGGAACCTTCTTCCGGAGAGCTTTCTGTAACCACCAGGCAGAATGCAGCTGCCTGAGGGCCAAGAAGCGGTGGCCATGCATTCAACACCCCAGACACACATTTAGCCTTTCTACTCGGTGACAGACAGGGGACTGAAGGGTAGGAGAAACCATCTCTGAAAGCAAAACTTCCAAAAGCCAGGGCTGACTCCTGCCTTCCTGCAACACCCTAAGCAAATGCTACTCTACCTGTTAAAAGGGGTTGAATTAAGCCAGAGGTTTTTTACCCTGGCTGTGCATTAAAACCACCTGTGAACTTTGTGCAACTACACACGCTTGGGTCTCATTGTTCAGAGAAGAAACATCCCAGAGGGTGGCTGTTGGTTGTCAGTGTGTCTGAAAGGCCTCCTAAGGCATTCTAATATGAAACCAGGCTGGAGAAGCACTGAATTAGATGGTGCCTAAAATGCCATCCAGCTCCAATGTCCTGCAGTGCACTACAAGCTGCTACTGTGATGTCAGCAAGGCCAGCAGCAGCAACACCCAGCACTTATGCAGGACCAAGTATGTGCCGGGGATGCTTCGCTCATGTTATCATTAATTACTTAAGTATTCCTCTTCGCAACATCTTTATGAGATAGATGCTTTGTAAGGACCATTTTACAGAAGCACAGACAGGCTTACCCAGGCCACACAGCTGCTAGTGGCATAGCTAGGTGCTAGGATCAGGGTGATTCCAAAGGGCATCTAAAACGGCCATGAAGGGTCAAGAAAGCTGTCACAGGAAAACCTGGCCTTTAGGCAGACGCTGGGTGATGAGTAGGAATTGGCCAAGGAGAGAAAAGGGCTTAGAGAAGAAGAGAAGAGGAGAGAACCTCAGACAGGGCAACTGTGTGCGCCCAGGGCCCATGCAGGAAAGCCCCTGCAGGAAGTTGGTTCCCATCCCCCACCCCATGTGCTGTCTTCCACAGCACTTAGTACTACCTGTAATTGCTTTGTTTATTTGTTTAGTGCCCATCTCCATGAGGACAACAGCCTTCTCTGTCTTGTTCATCCGGTATGCCCAGCAGGGAGTGCCTTGCCTGGCACATGGCCTCTGTCAAATGATTGCATCTGCCCAGGATTGCCAGCTCCATTCTCTTCCAGGACCCATTCATTTGTGAGCTGGGCAATTTTTAGTTTATAGGAAGGGACAGAGTAGAGAGCGTAGCTCAGAGGATTGTGGCAAGGCAATGCCATGTCCCACACAAAGACCCTCAGGATCTCTCATGCACACACCTTGGGAAGGGGCGAAGGTAACATAGATAGAAGGTGGACATAGTACCTACTATTCAGCCAGCACTGTGTGAGGCACTGGAGAGATACCCTCGTATTAGAGAATGGTGCCGTTTTTAAATGGAGTGGCTAAAGCAGACTTGGGAGTCAGAAATACCTGGATATGAGCCTGTCTCTTCTACCTTCTAGCCGTGTCTATGTATATATGACCTAACCTGTCTGAGACTCGAGTTTTTTACATTCTTATGGGAAAATAGAAGTATCAGTCTCAGAAGACTGCTGTGAAGATCAGTAGAGGTTGTTCTCATAGGATATTTAGCAAAGTGTCTGCCTGAGTTAGTAACATTGTCACTGATCCTGAGAACAAGAAGGCAACAGAGAGATACACATTACCCTGTGCACCCAGGGTGGAGGAAGGAAAGCTGGACAGGCCCAATGATAGCTCAGGTAAGCTCATGACAAGTTTCTGGGAGGATTCCAGGTCAAATCATCTCTTCTCACCTTTCGCCACCAAATTCTTCCCCATGCCTGACAGCACTGACACGTTGTCAACATTTTCTACCCAAGCTGTTCTAGTATCAGTGCCTCCGTGGGGAGATAAGGAGCACCGTTCATGCCTGTGCTCCCAGGGTGGGATTACTTTTCTAGTTACCATTCTCTGGAATATTATTCTGCACCATTAACTATGGCCAGCCTGCAGGTGATCATGATTCATAGCAACTTTTGTTTTTCTCCCTTTGCTTGGAAATTGGCCACATACTTTCTCAATGTCCAAAACTGGTTCCCTTTGACAATCAACTCTCAAATCTAAACCCAAAATAAACAACACCAACCACATCAAGTAATCATATTGCCAAAGGGAAACAGGCTTGGAGTTGGCACACACACACACACACACACACACACACACACAGTCTTTCCCCTTCAGCCTCCCTTCCCTCAAATCTTATTCTAAATTAAGGCACTCCATAACATCTCATACTTTAGCTTCGTAGAGTCTGTAAGCCATCTGAAATCCCAAGCAGAGTTTTCTGTATGAAAACATCAGCATTTCAGTACAGAGGAACCCATATTTCCCACCACTTTTCTAAAGGAATTTAGTTTAAAGAAATTTTTAGGATGCTCTTGCAAAAATCTATCTTCATTCTCTCTGGATATGGCAAATTTTTTAGTTGTCTCCGCAAAACCATTCTTCTTTTACCTGTGGTCATGAAATCCTTCAATGTTTAAGTTTAGAACTACTCAGATAAAGACTGTATTTCCCAGACTCCTCTACAGGTAGTTTTTCCCATGTGACTACTTTTAGCCAATGAGATGCAGGTGGATGTTTCACAAGGTAGCTCCCAAAGATTTCTATAAAAGGCATTTGCCATGTGCTCTTCTTTCTTCATTCTTTCCTTCTGTTGGCTATCTGGAAGGTAGATGTGATTGCCAGAACTTGAATGACAAGCTAGCTCATGTGGTAGCACTGGAAATGGAGCTCATACAGATGGAGAAATATGCTAGGAGGAGTTTCAGTCCCATAGGATTTTAGAGGCAAGTGCATCAGCCCAGCAATGGGCAGAATGTCTCTGAACTTCAACATTAGGAAGAAATAAACTTTACTCTTGTTTCAGCTACTATTATTTTGATGGTCTGTTGTGCACAGATAAGGCTTATTCTAATTCATATTCAGAGTGAAGCTAAAACACCTGCCCAAAGGAGAGCGCTTATTCATATCTCTCCATCACCAATCTCTGTATATTCTCCTCAGCTCTTCTAGACTTCCTCCCACTCCATGCACAAACCTTAAGAAACTTCTTAAGCTGAACACGCCCATGAGCTGC